ATTGAGTATACAGTCAATCCCAAAAGTTTATGCACCTTAGAACAACGCATTTCCTATAATTAAAAAGAAATCAGACGTCGGGAAAACAATGCTAATAATAAATAGCTACGTGCTAAAAAGTATAGAAAGAAATATCCAATTAATTATTGACGTTAGCGAAAAGCTTTTTATACAGAAGTCGTAGGCACTGATATCCTCTACAAGAAAGGTTCTATGTATTTTTCTTCTAACTTCAGTATTTAACGAATTAAATGCAGTTAATTGGTATCTTATTGGCATTGATAAAATCCGACCGTCTCACCGTCGAAATGGTAAACTTTTGGCAAAAAATTTCGTTTTTCCTCAATTACTCCTAAACTGTTGGACATCCTTAAGATACGTCGCGTTCCATTATCTTCCAGTCGCTCTCTCGTAACATTTTTCAGATTATATAAGATACAGATTTCTCAGAAGGAATTTTTAATAATGACATTGCTTCTTTAGCAATCTCGTGATAGGACAGATATAATAATATACTAAATTACATATTTTATTCTCATATTGAAATAAAATTTGATGACAATATCTCATTACCTATACACACTAAATGGAAACATCAGTCACATATTAAATTTTGCACATATTTACAAAATTACTTACACATTTGATTCACAATTGGAAGACATAAGAAAATTTTTAGACTGAACCAAAATGCATAAATACATCAACAAAGTCCGTAACTCTCAAGATAATTTATATCACAATTAAATTGAAATCGGTTCCAATTTCCAGAACTATAATTAGCTTCAGGTGCTCACCAACAAATTGTAACAACGTTCGCCGCCATCCCCGGCAGCGAGGGTTTCTCAAGATCCATCCGGCAATCGCCGGTCGACAATGGCCCCGTCGAGGGGTTACTTAGCGGCCCGAGATCAAACAATTAACGAAGTCGTTAATCGCGGCCGGCGTTCAATCGGCGACGCGAACTTTAATCAAACGCGGCTTATCGATCACCGCCTTCGCGTGTCAGCGGATCGATCGGATCGCCCGCGCCGATTCAGGGACGGGGCTCGCGCGAACGGATCTACCTGCGCAGCAATGGTAATCGAGAGGGTCCAGCCGACCCAACCCGATGCGACGAGAGTGAGAGCGTCGCCGTTTCCTGTCGTCCGGGTGGGGTGCTACATAAAGCAACGCGTCGCTCATCGAGACGCCAATTTCACACGGACGCTCGCGGTTCGCGCATCGCTCCAAAACCTTTCGCGTATTTCCCATCGCCAATACCACGTGGACAGCGCACTGTCAACCGGACGGCTACATCAAAACTTGGTACGTTCTTTAAATTGTATTACCTGACAAAATGATAGATTTTAGAATTAATGCACCCCAAGTGTCTAACAATTTTTTAAATTATTTTTAATCTATTAATCATGATTGGCATATTCCTTATACGTCAAATACAATCCAATTCCTGTTTGCTTTAATACACAATTTTTAATTCTATAATACTTTATAATTCTTTTTATTCCTTTTATATAATATTTCCTGCATTATTAAATTCTTTTGTTAAAAGCAAGAATTATCATTTTAAGATGCACCGATTTAAAGATTTCTCTTATCTCGTATCATTGTTACATTAAGGTCGTGTAGAAATATTTATCTGAGACATTTGCGCAGCGGCTTTAAATAAATTCCTCGATACATTCCAGCTACAGTATTTCTTCAATGCACACGTGCATTATTTAATATCTGTCATTACAGAAACGTATTACGCAACATTATAACACATTGTAACAATACACAAATTGATTTTATAAATAAATCATAATTAATGCAAGTACGTGGATCGTCGTGTGAAAGAGCTGTAACGAGCGTAACTCGTTTGCAACACGCGTGCGATGTATTTATGTCGCAACGCGACTAGTTCGAAGGCTTACATTAGCAAATATTGTGGATAACACTAACACTGTTTGTAGGAAAATTTTTTACGCGATACGAACGGTAATCTGGGAGTATGCACATGTGTATCATTGCGAAACGAATCGCTAAACTGCTGGAATTCGTATTTATATTCAGTCACACGAGTTCGCAGTGGTATAACGAATGATAAAGCGTTGACATAAGTAACAATAATTTTATTATCTGAATGATCCCATAATTAATACCGCTTAGTCGATTCTTCTACTTATAATTTATTCTACTATTATTATACGTGTCGCTTGTTTTTTATTACGCTCGTGACAGGACACTATTCAAAAATCTGGCGAAACTGTTGCTCCATTTTTTTATTGAATGATCCGAAGCGTAACTGAAACGAATTCGGTGTAATTAGAAATTGAAGCCAGAATTGAGTAATCCTCGTTGAGTAACTCGTGAAATGAGGTAAGAGATTGATTACCGTGTAGAAAATATAATAATTGCGACCTTGCTGAATCGCATTGAAAAAATGATACCCAGCCATGGGTCGTCTAGACTTTAAATATTACAAAGAAATTGTGAAATCATTCATTTAATGGTCTTTACATTTTCTAAAGGACAATAAGTAGTTTAAGGA